TTTTTTTCTAATTCCCATTGGCACCTATTGAATTCAATTGCTGCTCAAGAAAAAAAGAAACTTAGAAACCTAACTATGACAAGGATAAAAATATTAAGAATGTTATTTGAGTATCAAATGGTAGGTGACAATAAGAACGCTGAGATAGAAAACAAGCAGGGTTTCATGTTTCATTGTCAAAATCTTCAGTCTGGATCTCCCCAAAATGAAATTATTATGCAAGCAATAACTAACCTTCTACCCCATACGTTTCTATGACACTTTTCATTGGCTCCTTTTGCCTTATTTCCCATTGCTTCTTTCCTGCTTTTATGTAAATATATTTTGAAATAGCTACTTCCCCTCTAAATATTTAAATAACAGGTGTCCATCACCCAAAATTCCTGTGTTTCCCCCTATATGTAATGAGAAATGAAGGATTATCAACCACCCAGGTTAGAAATAGAACACAGAATGGACTAAAGATAAAAATGTGGCTTTTCTGTTAAAATCAAGAATAGAGATTCATAGGAAACTCAGAAGAAATAAAACTTATAGAATAATTTAAAACCAAACTTAAACTGGTCCTGGAATCCTGAAGAACATTTGAGGAAGCAAATTAGTTCTTCTCCTCTTTGAAGATCCCAAAATAATCCTGGGATATTAATGGAGATGTGAATTATTTGAAGTGATTAAAAATTCCAGGGACAAAAAGAAAGGTTGCTAGATGTCCACCTGGCTCTCATATTTTCTCCAAATAGTCCTAGGTAAGAAGGCTCGGGACCTCCAATCTTGCAGTTTCAAAGATCCAAACCAAATATAAGATATAAAAGCGTGGCAAGAGGGAAGTTCTAACCAAGGTTCATTTTCAAGTGCCTCCACAATGTTAACACAGACTTTATGGAACAAACGCTTCTTGTGGAAAATTCTGACAGCCATTCTTTGGAATCAACAATCTTTGGGAAGAAAGGAAGCCATAAATGATGAGGGTTAAAAATCTTACCACAAAAAGAGGAAATGCTTAAGCTCAAGGTCACAGATGGTCTGTTTGAAAGAGCAAGAAAATGTGCATGGTTATGCTAAAAAAGGATGGGCGAGAGAGATCTTGTGAATAAAAGCTAATCCCACTTAGCCCTCATACTTATAAAACACCTTAGACCCAAACCCTGCAGGAAGGGATGGAGGCCCTTCCCAATCCACTTCAAGCTAGGTAAAGAATAAAATATTAAAAATAAAAAGTTACAATAGCTAACACATATAGCATTTATTACATGCTAGGACTCTAAAGACTTTATAGGTTAACTCATTCAATTGTTAAAACAACTGATGAGGTGGGTACTAATAGGATCTCCCATTTCACAGATCCAGAAATCAAGAGACAAAATTTCAGTGAATTTGCTTACAATCTCTCAGCTACTAAGAGAGGGGCACTGGGATTAGAACCCAATCAACACAGCTCCCAAGTCCATAATCATAATCACCACACTATAGTGTCTCAGAAAGTTTAGCCTCCAACCCAGACTTGGCCCACATTTTACATTCTCATCCCTCTCTATTCATGTACTTAATAGTTTTATTACTTACTAAAAAATCTTAGGAATATCTTATTAAGTCTATGAGAACCAAAAGCAGAACCTCCCTTACCTTTCTTTTCCACATTGTCCCTTAAGAATGCTTAAGCACAAACCACAACCAAGTGTTGGGATGGGCAGTCCCTATACAGCCATGAAACATGCCAGAAGGTTTGGTGTATTTTGTTAAATGAATTGCTGTCCTGATTTAGTGAAAGGTACTTATGACAGAGAACATTAATGTTTATGGGTGGGAAAGGTGGGAGGAAATGAAATAAATAATAATCTAACTAAAAAACAAAATAAGGCTACTACTAAAATGGTACCTATACTTCAAAGGCCTCTCTCAAACACCACATCTTCACAGCCAGACTTCAACTTTAAAGAACCTAAATAATATTCTATCACTGGTTGTCCTTTGGTCTCCAACTAATTCTACTTAGATTATACCTTCTACTGTAGGCATCTAGAATTTATACTCAAAGCAACTTGTGGGAGAAACATTCTTATTCACACAAAGCACTCATTTATCTGTTAGGTCATCAGGTCAGAAGGGACGCTGCAGGGCGCCTGGGTGGCAAAGTCGGTTAGGCGTCTGCCTTCGGCTCAGGTCATGATCCTGAGGTCCTGGGATCGAGTCCCACATTGGGCTCCCCCTGTTCTGTGGCGAGACTGCTTCTCCTTCTCCCTCTGCCTGCCGCTCACCCTGCTTGTGCTCTTTCTCTGTCAAATAAATAAATAAAATCTTAAAAAAAAAAAAGGGACACTGCAGTGGAACTGTAATTATAAAAAAAGGGCTCAATGTATCATCTATCCCTTTCATGTAGTCAAGGCAAAATTAAAGCAAAATATTAACTGAAGTCTCTGAATTAAAGGCTTGAAATAAATTTCTCATTTTTCATACATTTAAATACATTACGGTTTATCGTTTTTGATAACCATTTCTGTTGAGAACAAGCAGAATCAGTTTATATTTTAATTTTAATGTGGAATAACTATTTATTTTAAGGGAAAAAGAACCACCCATCTTTCTAAGCAGTTTTTGAGGACAGGGGCCCATTTAATTCCAGCATGTTCTCCAGGTCCACAATACCCAGTGAATGCACAATGGACCATCAATAAATATTCCCTACTACCCAACCACATTGAACAACAGTCATAAGGTGAAATCTTACTGCTGGTCCAAAGAAATCTGAACAGACATAGATCCAAATGCTATTTTTGAGCCAAAGAAATCTAAAAGTAATAAGATCAATATGCAGCAATGAAAGGCTCAATTCAATCCATGTAACTCTAAGCATCTTAACTAATAAATTAAACTGAATGTTGTAGGTGCCTATAATTTTCAAGTTGGAGAGAGGGTGGAAGAAGAAAGAAAGGGGTTAGGTTACTCAGAACCTGTAACATAATACCAAATGTTTTGTGTTTATCTCTCTATGTGACATGTGTATAATCATTTTCCACAAAAGTTCAAATTAACATTCCACCTAGTAATTTATCTCTGAAGAGAATCAAGAGATAGCCATTGAGAAAGAGAGTGAGGGAGAGAGTTTGAGACAGAGAGAAGAGGAAAAAAAGAGAGACAAAAAGAGCACAAGAGAAAGGAAAAAACATAGATAAATAGAAACAGAGGAAGTAAAGGAGGGAAAGTCGGTTGGGGGGAGAGCAGGAGGGCAGGGAAGGAAAAAAGAATAGCCACATGGAAGAGAAACGAAACAAAAATGGTTTGAAGAAAACCTTTTCTTGATGAAATCTGCAGTAAAATCCAGATTCTTACTGAAATGGAAAACTCCCATCTTAGGTGGGTGAGTGGCTGGGGTTTTGGCTACTAAAGGAAATCAGTATTTTACTTGACAATTTCCATGCTAAATCCCACTGTCACTTTCAGTGTCATTTCACTGTCATCTTCCTACAGTAAATAAAAGAGTATAATAAATATTTCCCCCCTGAGGTTTATAAACATGATCTCAATGGCACAACTGTAACAAATCATCCAGAAAATTCTTGGCAGAGTAAACCAAAGAACATATGTTTACCCAAGGTGAACGGCAGCAACTGGACTGTATGTTAACTACATTTGGTTTCAGACAGCTCATCAAATATGCTCTAAATTTGCCCAATAATTCATCCACAGTCATGCATGTTACCATAAGCCTACCAATAAAATATAAAAGCTTCACTTGAAAAATTTTCCTGCCAATTTCTACTTCTGACATAACTTGATAAAAGCCTCTGACATAACTTGAAAAAATCCTTAGAAAGACTGCATTATTTTCCACGTTAATACCACTAAACTGAAAAAAGATTTGTTAACGTGTGTCTACAGTACATCTTCAATGGATGTAGAGAATATATTTATCATGTCAAAATCCAACACCTTTTATTTTCCATTCAGAACTGTAGCTTCAGCAATGGCAGCATTTGTCCTATAAAGAAACAATCTAAAAAACACTTCTTTCTATAGTAACCTGAAGATGCTTTTCTTCCTGCTTTTTACATAATGTAATTTTTTAATGAGCTGCAATTAAAGTCAGTAAGAGAATCTCATAATACCATATTCTTAAGCCTTCTTTCACTTTCCATAGTATATGACTTTCAAAATCTAGAACTCTCCTGTATATATTTTATATGGTTTGAAAGATACATAAAACATAATAAAGGACTTATTCTCAACTGGTACATTTCCAGATCATACCACAATTCATATGTGTTGCCCTTAGCAAATTGAAAGGAATTGCCAAAGAAATCTACATATGTACAAAGTTTTTAAAAAGACTAGAATCAAATAGGAATCTGTAAAACTCACACTGTCAACATACATATCTTATCCTGAACTTCTAAAATATTCACATCCATTATCAATCACTATTTTATATTTAAACAAATGCATACCTCATTTATACTGCTGTAGAATGTTATAAATTCTAAAGCTGATTTCATTGTCTCCTTGAAAACAATTCTGATACAGAAAAACATGCTGGTTGTTACCAATAATAAAGCTAACTATAAATAATTAAACATTCTACAATTACTCAGATTTCCAGAGACAACTTAAGTTCTAGTTCTGTAACTAGGGACTGAATACAGCTTCCATTATAGTATGTAAATGTTTTTCTGTTTCTATAGTGAATATACCTTTGTGATCTTTTTCAAGTTCTGTCAGTATGCTCACAAATAAAACAAAAACTGCTCACTATTTGAATCACCAATTATTCCAAATCTACTTATCTCAGTATTACTGATTACAATGTGAACTTTTAGCATTTATTCATTGAAGGGTATTTGCAGTCTGACACATCAAGGATGAGGTCCAACAGAAATATCACCAACAAAACCAAAAGCAAAAAACAAAATACTTAAGTAATCCTTGGCCTGTTTATTTTAGATCAAAAAATAAACAGAAAAGATAAAATATAAACATATTTTAAAAACCAGTATTTCAATGCTTACTTTCAGTAGATCCTTGGAGAAATCACCACCCTCATTTACCCCTTGAAGGTTTGCAATGAACTCTTGGCAGGTCATCTTCTTTCCAATATTCTGGAATAGAGGCAAATAATACATCATAATGACATACATACATGGAATTCTTAAAACTGTGATTAAGCAAAGCAAGACTGATTTGGCTTTTCAAAACATGAATACACATGCCCCTATATGTGCATATATCCACACATACATATAATACAAACTTATAAGAAACAGATGGCTTATTATGCTTTCAAAACAGTCATTAAATATAAATAGCAAAATTATGCCAAACCTTTATTTTAACCTAAGAAAACATCTGAGAAATCTATGCTACATTTATATATATATAAGGTAGTTTTTAATGGAAAACATGGATAAAATGACATTTCTGAGCTAAACTCTGATATTTATTTGCTTGTTTATTTTTATTTCCTACATATTGTCAAGAACTGTGAAGGATCTGAGATTTTAGCCCACTTTCAAGCTAACAAACTAGTCTACCACAATCTCACATGTTGGCAGATGAAGTAAGATTCCTGAGTCGGAGGCACAGGAATTTTTTTACAACAACAGGAGTAGCCAAAATATCAGCATTTTCTTGCTCCAGTTTCCTGAGTCCCAATTCTCACAGAACCTGACAGGGCCAGCTGACATGCACACACAGTGGGTTGTGATACAGGAAAAGAGCCCCAAGATTTGGGAATCTGAATATTTGTAATGGACAGTAAGCATGCCTATTGCTTTTGCTCTAAATAAGAAACCAACTCTTCTCATCCAAGGCTATAAGCAAACCTATCCATTGCTCTAAAGTCACTATATTTTCCAAACTGCTCACTGCAGGAACAATTTTGAAAAAATAGAACAGAACAAAAGCAACCAAAGCTCCTGTTCACAAAATGTACAGAAATGCAAGAGACCCATGGAAAATTGTCTCCAAACACATTTAAGATGAAGTTTAAGATTTAAGAATAAGTTTAACCAAAAAATCACATTAATAAACAAAATGAAAAAAAAAGCAAACAGAAAATATAAAGTAACAAAAAAAGAGAAGATACAAATATGTTAGACTGAGAAAACTAATAAAACTCCTATGCCAGCCACAGTCAACTAGTAAGAGCTGCCAGTCAGGGAGGATTCAGAGGCTCAATCTGACACCAACAGAAATCCATCATGAGTGCAGGAGCGGGGTGTGGAATATACACGCAACCGCATGGGATCTCTGGCAAATGTGGTCCAAGTGAATATGAAGTGTACCAACATATTAATATCCTTGTACAATAATATGCATACAAATAAAATGTATACTCTGTGAGGCTATTTTTCAGAAAAGACTAAGAGTGGGGTAGGACGTTAGTCTTCAAGTTGAGGAAAAATATTAAGACTTTAAAAGGGATGCAAAGCCATAGATAGTTTTTAGAGTATGTATACAAAACCTGAACTTCAAAAATACAGATCTGCCTGGGGACATATACACCTATGTGTCTTAAAGTAATTGCTTTCCACTCCCCCTCTCACAGCTGCTCTTCTACCTTATAACATGAAACAAATCATCCAACTGATCCTATCGAATTAGTTAGAGTAAAAGTGCTAACTAACTGTTGCTAAAAACCTTGCCTCTTCCATCAGCAAAGAGGGCAGTCAGACTTCACATGACTGGATGAATGTTTTAACAACGAGAACTGACTTTGCCAATTATTTTAAGTAAGTTAAATCTGCAGCCCTAAGTTCTGATGAAAAATTTATTTAAAGCACAGAAACTTTAATAAAAAATACTATTTCACAATATTATATTGAAAAACACAATATCTCAACCTTCCCAATCCTTATCAAATATATCAGATCCAAAAAGGTACATATGTTGGCTAACTGAACATAATAATAAAAAAAACAAAAGGTACCTTAAGGTAAAAAGTAACAAGAATATTCAATAGTCATTTTGATAACGACTTGACAAGGTCTTTCTGGTTATGTTCTGAGGACCTGAGAAAAATGAATGAATAATGACTACATAAATTCTTTTCCAAGTCAGGCAGTTTCCAATTCTCAAAAATCAAAAGATGACATGATTTAACCATCAGTTAAAAACCAAAATTTTCTTTAATATGTGATCTGGTGAATTCAAATATTTGTAACACTATCTTTTTAAAATCAACTTTGTATTGTTCATAGCAACAATTTCTTGCAGAATGATTTATATTTAAACATTCGTTGTATTTTATAGTCATGAGATATTTTGTTACAAGAAAGTATCAAATAATCAATAAAAGATTCCCAAGTATAAAAACATATTACATGAAAAAAAAAACTATGGAAAATTAAACAGTTATGAATATTAGAAAAAAAAGGTGAAATAAAGAGTTGACTTTTTCATATGATGGAGTGTCTGCTCACTGTAACTTTTTACAAATACCAGCTTTATTGAAATATAATCCACGTAACATTCACCCTTTTGAATTATACAATTCAGTGATTCTTATTTATTTATTTGAGAGAGAGCAAGGGCAAGCAGAGGGAGGGGCAGAGGGGGAGGGAGGGGACAAGCAGACTCTACGCTGAGCGCGGAACCCAACTGAGATCATGACCCGAGCTGAAATCAGAGTCCACCACTCAACCGACTGAGCCATCCAGGTGCCCCTACAATTCAATAATTCTTAATATATTGATAGAGTTCTGCAGCCATCACCACTATCTAAATTCAGAACGTTGTCATCACCCAAAAAGATACCCCATATCCATTAACAGTCAGCTCCTATATCTCTCCTCCCATTCCCAACACCCATCTCCTGGCAACCACTAATCTTTTTATTTGTATGGATTTGCCTGTGCAGGAATATTTCACATAAATGGAATCATGGCCTTTTTTGACTGGCTTCTTTCATCTACCATATTTTTTTCAAGGTACATCCATATTCTAGCATGTATCAGTATTTTATTGCAAAATAACATTCCACTGTATGAATATAACAAATTTTCCACTCAGAAGTTGATGGCTGACTGGACTGTTACCACATTTTGGTTATTATGAATAATGTTGCTATAAATATTTGTGTAAAGTTTTTTGTAGACATATGTTTTTATTTCTCCTATATATATAACTCAGGAGTAGGAATGCTAGGTCGTACGGTAACTCTATGTTTAATCATTTGAGAAACTGTCAGAATTTTTTCCAAACAGACCACACCAGTTTACATCGCCACTAAAAGTGTAAGTTCCAATTTTTCCACATCCTTACCAACATTTATCTTTTTTATTTTAGACATTTCTAGTAGATATGAATTGCCATCTTGTGGCTCTGATTTGCAATTCCCTAATGACTAATGATGTTCATCCTTTCCATGCAAATATTGGCCATTTGTATATATCCTTTGAAGAAATGCCTTCTTAAACTCTTTGCCCTTTTCTTATTGAGTCATTTGTCTTTTCTTGTTGAGTTGTAGAAGTTATTTATATATTCTGGATACAAAACTCCTTATCAGATATATACTTTGAAAATGTTTTCTCCTGTTCTGTGGGTTATCTTTTCTTGATGGTGTTGTTTGAAGCACAGAAAGTTTTGATCTCAGTGAAATCCAGTGTATGTATTTTTTCTTTTGCTGCTTGTGTTTCTATTGTCAAATTAACAAATTATTGCCTAATCCAAGGTCAGAAAGATTTATTCCAATGCTTTCTAAAAATGTTACAGTTAGCTCTTACATTCAGATATTTGATCCATATTGCAATAATTTTTGTACAGGAAAAACATATCCAAGTTCATTCTTTTCCATGTGGCTATCCCAACACCATTTGTTGAAAAGGCTATTCCTTCTCCCACTGAATAATCTTGGCATCCTTGTTCAAAATCAACTGACCATAAATGTAAGGGTTTAGTACAAATTCTCAATTCTATTGTATTGACCTAGCCATATGACTGGATGCCAGTATAATACTCTCTTGATTCTTGTAGCTTTGTAGTAAGTTGTTTTTGCCTTTGTACTTTACTGTGGCTAAAAAATACATAGAAAAAATTTACCATCTTAACCATATTTAAGTGTAGAGTTCAGTAGTGTTAAGTATATTCATATGGCTATAAAACAGACTTTCAGAACTTTTGCATCTTGCAAATCTTAAACTCTATACCATTAAAAAACAACTCCCCTTTTCCCCTCCCCTGAGCCTCTGGTAACAATCATTCTTTCTTTCTGCTTCTCTGAATTTGACTGCTTTAGTTATTTTACGTAAGTGGAATCATAGAGTACTTTCTTGTATATGTTGTGTATGTATATATATATGTGCGTATATATATATACACACATATATGTATGTATAAGTGTGTGTGTGTATATATATATATATTTCAAGTGTACAGCTTTGTAACTTGACATCTGCGTACACTACCAAATGATCACCACCACAAGTCCAGTTACCACCCATCACCATACAGTTATCTCCTTTACCCATTTCACCCACTCCCCAATCCCCTTACACTCTGGTAAGCATTACTCTGTTTTCTGTATCTACGAGTTTGTTTTGTTTGTTCATTTATTTTCTAACTTTCCAAATATGAGGGGAATCACACTGTATTTGTCTTTCTGCATCTGACTTATTTTGCTTAGGATAATACACTCAAGGTCCATCCATGTCTCAAATGGCAACATTTCATTCTTTTTATGGCTAATATTCCATTGTACATACACACGCATACATACGTACATACATACCACATCTTTTTCCATTTGTCTACTGATGGATATTTAGCCTGTTTCCATATCTGGGTCAGGAACATAGGGATGCATGCGTATTTTTTAGTGTTTTCGTATTCAAAAAAATACACAGAAGTAGAATAGTTGAGTCATATGGTAGTTCTATTCTTAATTTCTTGAGGAATCTCCATAATGTTTTCCATAGTGGGTACACCAATTTACAATCCCAGCAGTGTGTGAGGGTTCCTTTTCTCCCACATCCTATCTGGCACTTATTTCTTGTCTTGTCATTCAATAACAGCCATTCTAACAGGTGTGAGGTGTTATCTCACTTGGTTTTGATTTGCATTTCCCTAAAAATTAGTGATGCTGAGAATGCTGAGCATCTTC